TGTTAATTGTACAACAATTTGTGTCAATTTGAACCATAAGACTACTAATGGGTAGTGAATGAATGAGTTCCCATTCAAAAAATAAAAAAAGAATGAATGAATTTAGATTCTGTCACACCCCGGATTCGATCCCCTTGAATTCTGTGCGCAAACTCAATTACCATCAATATCAATCCATACAAAGCACTAAAATCCTCAATCAATAAAAAAAAATAGAAAAACTCAGCCTCTAAAAATCATTACAATGGTTCAAACCACTTTCAAAATTGTGGAAATTTCACCTATGAATCAAGATTTTGAAATCTCTAATTCCTCAATCGACTCAATCATCTTTCGACTTTCTATAAATTTTCAACTTGCATCTGAGAGGGGTAAATGAGGCGTGAGCTTGGGAGGCCCGGTAACCAATTTATAACATACAGAATCACAAGGTTACATGATAATCCAACAATCAACCGCAGAATCAACAAATAAAATGAGCATTTAACACAAATCCCTTCATAAAATTCATATGAAACCCAATTCTCCAATTTCTCAAATCATTCATAGTTTCATATTAGGTTCGTCTCAGCTACATACTAAGCGCTACTCGGTATATCCTATCACACGCCCCTCGAGGCCAAAATCACATCTCAATAACAAAATCATGCCACCGAGTATGCTTGACGCATGTGGCAATAGGGGCCAAGTTCTTTACCAATAAAAATATTTTTCACACAATAAATACAAAGACACATCAAACGAAAGTCCAAACGAACCTCACAAATCAACGATTAAACAATGGATCGAAATACAATGACAATAGCAATAAAAGGACTCTTTGCAAAAAGATTAAGGTATGGACTCGATCTCGATCTCTTCACTCATGACTACAACTCATTTTGCTAAATTCTCACTAGTGATGGCTTTACTATAAGTGACTGACTCATGAGTCTCAATACTTTTGGCCACACTAAGTGCATAGGCAATAAGATCCTTGTAACCATATCTTTGAGGCGGCTTAATTTTCCTCATTTCTCTGTCCTTGACAAGCATGTACCCTTGTTGCTGTGAAGCCGCATCAAAGTCTTGTTCCTTTTTTGCATCTTACCTGATTTGGACATCATCTTGCAAGGCATCTGGAACTTTCACTTCAAGCTCCACTTGTTTACTAACACCGTAGTCTTTTCCAATATCAAGAGACTCATCTTCTTGGGTTTAAGCATAGAAAACTCATCAAAATGTCACGTCTCTATTGATGATACATTTAGGTGGTTTAGCGTCTACACACCACAGTCTGTAACCTTTCACCCCATCTACATACCTTAGAAATATGCACTTTCTTCCCCTCTGGCTCAAGTTTACAATCATTCACATAAGCATAAACAGGATAGCCAAACACTTTCAAACCAGTGCAATTTGTAGGAGACCTGAACCAAACCTTTTCAGGAGTCTTACACTTGATAGATGTCGATAATAACAAGATGTATTGACAACTTCAGCCCATAACTTCTTGGATAGACAAGCATTTGAGAGCATGCATCGTGCTCTCTCCATGAGAGTTTTGTTCATTTGTTCTGCAACCTCGTTTTGCTATGATATTTTTCTCACCGTGCGGTGTCTCACAAGTCCTTCCTTCTTACAAAACTCATTGAAAGGACATCCACATAATTACATGCCATTGTCAGTTCGTAAGTGCTTGATCTATTTTTTTTTATGCTTCTCAATCATAGCCTTCCATTGTTTGAACCATACAAAGACATAATTCTTGTGCTTCAAAATAAATATCCAGACCTTCCGAGAATAGTCATTGATGAATGTCAATATATACCTTCCACTACCAAGAGAGGGAACAGAGATGGTCCCCAAAGGTTAGAATGGACATAATCCAAATTACCATTGATCCGATGTATAGCCCTACTGAACTTCACTCTGCATTGCTTACAAAAGTCCAACTTTCTAGTCTTCTAGCCACACAACAAACCTCGTTTGCTTAGCACATCCAATCATCTCTCACTCATATGCCCTAATCACATATGTCATAACTTGGTAGCGTTTGAGCTTGAAACAAAAGATGAAACTATGGCAACGGCTCCTGACACTATGTTACCCTGTAGCAGATTTAGGCCATTCTACTTCTAACCTTTAATCATGACAAGAGCGCCTTTAGAAATTCTCGTAACTCCACCTTTAGCTTTATACGTACAGCCGTTGGAATCGAGCATATCCAAGAAAATATAATTTTTCCTCAAATTTGGAACATGGCTAACATTTGAAAGAGTCATCACAATACCATCAAACATTTTTGATCCGTATTGTCCCTATCCCAACAACCTTACTGGCTACATTGTTTCCCATTAGGACCTTACTACCATCAACTGGGTGATAGGTGGCAAACCAATCTTGATTGGGACACATGTGATAGGAATAACCAGAATCAAGAATCCACTCATCACCTGAGCTGCTGGTTGAACACGTGAGAGCATTAGTATCAATGAAACTTTCTTCTACAACACCAGTAATATTTCCAGAGCTTGAGTCCTCAATCTTTGCTTTGCCTTTGCACTTCAAACATTCTTTTCTAATATGCCCTCCCGTGTGACAGTGAAGGCATTTAAATTTTCTATATCCACCTTTGGATTTAGATCGGTCTCTACTACTTGAGCCTTTCTTTGTTAATCGTCCTCTTGCAACCACACCTTCGCCTGAGCTTCCGTCTTTATTTTTGGACACCCTTCTCTTTAATCGTTCGAGTTCAAGGCTGCCTTAACATCCTCCATGGAAAGAAAATATCTACCATACATCATGACATTTACAAAATGCTCATGTAAGGATGGTAAATAACACATGAGAATCATGGCTTGTACTTCATCATCGAGTGTAGAATCGATGTTCTTCAAATCTAGCATGATTTTATTATACTTGTCAAGATGGTCTTTGGCAGGTGTACTTTTTTTCATCTAGAGGGTGAATAACCGTTTTAACAAATACAAACAGTTTGTGAGAGGCTTTGTCATGCATTGGCTCTCCAACTTTAGCCACAAACCTGTAGCTGTAGTTTCGTTAGTAACTTCCTTCAACACCTCATTGCTACAGCTCAATGTGATAGAGTGTGATCCTTTGCTTGGATGCCTTTCTTTTCGTCATCTAACATTGTTGCGGGAAAGACATTTTTCCCTTTTGCATCTCTTTTCTCTATAGCATTCAGCAATCCTTATTGAACCAATAAAACACGCATCTTTACTTGTCACATGCTAAAATCATTTGTTATGTCAAACTTTTCTACTTCGAACTTTACAGCCATCGTAAAATCTCAAATCAAAATTCCAATAGAATCAAAACGTCAGTGATGATGAATAGTATTAAGTGCATGGTACTAATGCATAGTGTCAGGTGAATAGTATTTGGGCCCACCAATAATCTTAGGGCCGTCGATCATGAATAGTGTCTATGCCCACTAATAGTGCTCTGATACCAATTTGTTATGATAGACCCATGATTTGAGTACTGAGATAGACAATAAAGAGAAAAAAAAATAAATAAGGTACACATATATGGACATAAGAGATTTATGTGGTTCGGCAATTGTCTACGTCCACGACAAACAACAATCGGATGTTTTCACTATAGAGTAAAATAACAGTATAAAAACAATTGTTTCTTACCTGGCAAATATTCACTCCTACTAGAGAGAATGCACTTTGAACTCACCGATATCACTTTGTTATCATTCACTCTCATATGTCTCGCAACTCTCTACCCTCAGAAAAGACTCCTGATTTCCGATGCATCAAACTACTGCCTGGGCATCCCTTTATATTGGGAACTTGGAGAGGAAGTGTTGAAGCTAAAACCAATTTGGCAAATTAGATTTGATCCGCGCATGCAATAGTCGTCCAACAAATTGCCTGAGAATTCATGCGAAATCTCTTTACATTTAATGCAGCCTTATCAAATCATTGGCTTTCATACCAAAACTTTATCTCTTTGGTTAGAAGCCTTTACTTCTGGCCATTATTTCAACAAATGTTATAATTAAACATCAATCTATGATTTTAGATCAAATTGAAGATCCTCTAGCTAAAAGAAAAAATATGGAAACATATTTAGAATCCTCGCCCATTAAAGATCATCCAAAAAAACCATCTTTAAAACAATAATTTCATTTTAAGAGATTTTCGATTTTCTAATAGGATTCGATTAAAGATGGTTTTTTGAGTTGGGTGGAATCAGAGTTGGATGTGGTGGTGCTACCTGCTATTCTTGTTGATTTTTCGATATGGTGTTGGTGTTGGTGTTAGTGTTGAGGAAACAGATTATTCGGATAGTAATTTTGTTAATCACTTTATATTTGTTAAGAATTTGCATGGTGTTTCAAAGAATAAAAAATGGATTTGGAGTCACATGACTTGCATGTGATTAATTTCCATTACACTTAGCGGATGAAATTCTTAAGTTGTATTTTTTTTTTTATTTTGGTGTTACAAGGTATCTACGGTTGTATTGACTACTCACTCAAATTTACTGTCTGTCACCATGATTTGAGTTGAGTTAAAATATGTTCGTGAGGAATAAAAATAGCTAGTCCTTAAAAAATATGAGAAAAGATTAAACGTAAAATCTTAAATTATTAAAGATTAAGTTCAGTAATTACCTCTAAGAATTTTAAGCCATAATTACCTCTTGAGAATATGGCCAAATAATAGAAACATCAGAATTTACAATAATATTATGTCAATTTTAGGTAGGACAGACGTATAATACATGTGGGATAATATCCAGTGTTGTATAAGCACATGGCATAATACCGGAACATTCCAAATAGTGTGCCGACATCAGACTCGCCCGTTTCAAACCGTCTAAGTTGTCCAACTGTCGATTCTATTCTAGTCATCCGGAGAAGAAAAAGGCGGCAATTCTCCCGCCCTCCCTCTCTGCATGCGTGCGTACGTGCTAGTGTGTTTGCCCAGTTGCCCCTTTGTGATTTCTTTACGCTAAGAAGCACCCAGCCAATTGCACCATGGGAATCAACCTATTCTTTTTAAAATGCCTCCGTCCCCATTTCAACAATCAAATCCATCCATTTCTCTCCTCTCTCTCTCTCTTCCCCTAGGCACACAAACAGCTCTGGCTCTGCAATGAACGACATTCAGTTTGAATTACTTACTCCGACGACCCATGTTTCCGCAGTTATCCTTGATTTGGATGGGACCATTTTAAACACAGGTCATTTATTACTCTCTTTTAATTTCAAGGACTATAACCTTCCGTGTGTGCTTGTATGTCAAAATTAGTTCTGTGTGGATTCGTGTGCAGAGCAAGCTACAAGGGATGTTTTGAAGGAATTTTTGGCAAGATATGGGAAGGTGGTTGATAGGGATAAGGAAAATAAGAGATTGGGGATGATTCATAAAGAGTCAACAATTGCTATTGTTAAAGACTATGATCTTCCAATCACACCTGATCAATACTCCCACTATATCATGCCCATGTATCAGGAAAAGTGAGTCTCTCTCTCTCTCTCTCTCGGCATATATTTCACAGACAAGACCTGGCATTTGATTCTCCTCAATGGAATTTGGTTGTAGTGGCTGAAAACGTTGTCACGTTTGTATGTAGTTGCCATATATAAAATAGCTTGAATTTGGATGTTTCTTACTTTGTGGTCACAGTTCGAATATAGGTAAGTCAGTCAACTTTTATTCTCTTCTATTGTCAACGTGTCATGACTAATTTGTCTGTCTTAATAATGGTCATGGAACCTGCGTTGTGCTTTCAATTGTACCCGATGACCCCGTCTGGGTGGGGAGGGGGGGGGGGGGGGGGAAGGTGATACCCATGATCTTGGAAATGTTCAAATATTATGAGATAACTTCGATTTACACTCTTTAGGTTCTTGTTGCTGCCTTCTGTAGTGATTTATGGTATTTCATATTACCTATGCTGAAAAATCATCCATTGTTTGGCTATACAGTGAAATTTATATAAGTGAAATCTTGCAAGTCCATACAACACACCCACTTCCACCATTCAAGTTGTTTCTTCTGTGAAAACATGTCCTTTTGATTAGCACTTTCTTTTACCACTTGTTTCTTACAAAAGCAGTCATTTCTTCTTTGTCTTTTCTTGTGTAACCTATTCACACCATTTGACATAGCAGTTCTTCGAGCAGTTAGTGTTTAACATTGTCCGAGTGTTTTAAGGTCCTAAGTTTAAACCACACCTCCTTTCGTGCATGACACAAGATTGATAACCCAAGAGGGGCCACATGGGAGGAGGAGGATCAAAAAAAATACTCATGTGTTGCGCTCTCTCTCTGATCTCATGTTTTTTTTGTATTTAGGCAACATCTGATGTCATTTCGAAAGTTCAGCTTTGTAACCCTGTTATACAGTTCTACCCACATTGAGCATTGCATTCTAAAGGAGGCTATAAATTGAAACTCAACACCTTATCACATCAAGTCTTGATAACTATCAATATTTTTTTTTGAAAATGCTTGATTAATTGATTTTTTTTTCTTTTTGGTCCTTCTTTTCATAACCCTTGAACATTGTAGCATCTTCCAGGTGCTTTAGTTTTAAAATAGATCTCCCGCAAATGTATATTTAGGAAATCAGTAAGGGTATTCCTGGATCTGATTTAGGATATGTGTATGTTACTGACTTAGGGGAAAGATCTTTGTGGTGTTCAGTTGTATCACGACCAAACTATATAAAAATGTACATAAACATGCATGTGTTTGTGTAAAAAGACACACACAGTACTTGCTGAATCGCTGTTTTCATCTTATGAAATATTCCGTTTCCTGTTTCCCTTAATCCTCTATGAGCTTGCCATGTGGCTGGATTTCCTGCATCAGGAGTGTATACATGTTTTGGATATGCTAAACTCATTTTGATGGTATTAGTTGATATGTATTTTGGCACAACTGTATATTGTCAAAATGTTCTACTATTTATATCATGATGATTACACATTGAATGAAATAACAAACATGAACACTCAATTAGTTTAAATTTCTGTCCGTTTATATGTTAGTATGCTTATTTTAGCAAATACATATTTTACCATGAGACATGTTTTATCTATAAAATTTGCTTCATTTGTTCCTCTTAGGTGGCTGCAAGCCAAAGCACTTCCTGGTGCTAATCGCGTTATCAAGCATCTCCATAAGCATGGAGTGCCCCTGGCACTTGCTTCAAATTCTGTACGGAAGAACATAGATATGAAAATCTCTCTCCAACAAGGTTTTGTAATCCTGGCTTGCTTAAAAAATTATCCAAAATTGTGTGAACTATTTTTGCTACTCATCCAATTTACATGTTTTCATTGTCCTTTATATTGTTTGAATAAATCGCATCCAGTACAGAAGTAAGTTACCCAGCACAGTTTCACTAATAGTGTACTTGTAACTCCTATCATAATTAACTAATGTGCACTTTTCCTTAATTGTTTTTCCTTCTCAATTTTTCATCTAACGGGATCTCATATTCAACACACCTTTCTCTTCTATTCAGCTATTGGAAGTCAATTTTGTGGAAAGAGTTTTGCTGTAATTGGTAAGAAAGTTTCAATGATTGAAACTTGAGAGGGATAACAAAATGTAATTTATGCTGCCTTTGCACTGTGCCATATTAAACCCTTTCATGTGTGTGAAAATGCTGACTCCGCATGGTTCTTTCCCACTCTTCATGACTTTCTTGCTCATGAATGGAGTTCTTAAAACACTATGTTTTTGGGAATATGGTGGCTCTGATTTTTTTTTATGTGACTAAAGTACGACTGTAAAATGATGTCGCTACGCCATCACATGTTGTGCAAGGCTCTCTCTCTTCTAATTTCCAGAATATGTTCTTATTGTACGTTTTTTGGCTTTTTGACTACACTAGTATGTTCATCCTCTTTGTTCTTCAATTAGCTACATTGAAAATTCGAGAAAGAAATTCATACAAAAGATAGCCTTCATGTATCGGGCAAGAAATGCTCCCTGTGCATCACGCATCATGGTTTATTCATGTTTGAGCTCGGATACATCAATAGATTTGCATCTCAAACAAGGTAGAGGCAAATATTTTACTTTGCTAAATGATTCTGCAATCAGCCCTGGTTTAAGTCAGAATCAGACAACAAAATTTCTATAAACTGTTATATAGAGACGCTGAAACTTAAACTTTAGTTGTAAAATGTAAACACTGGTGGGGGACTCTTGAATAGGGTTCCATAGTTTGCTCTTGCATAATGCGTTACTAATTACATGGTCAATTATGGTGATCTTTCACTAACTTCTGAGTTTCATCTGTATCTCTTGTAACCACGTAAATGGTAGCAGTAGCACTCTCAATTGTAAACCTCTCTCTCTCTCTCTCTCCCTCTCCCCTCCCTCCTCTCTGAGTTGATTTGTCTACGTTTTGAACTGTTCTATGCAATCTTGTGTCAATTAAATAATTTTGGGTAGTACTAATTCATTTGTCTTTCTTTTTGACATTTTGTTTAACCTCCATAGGTTGGAAAGAATACTTTTCAGTAATCCTTGGGAGTGACCAGGTCAAATCAGGGAAACCTGCCCCGGATATGTGAGATCAAGGAGCTTTACTTTTAGTGATTCCAATGCAACTTTAAATTTATTCTTCATACCATAATGGAAATGGATAGTTCTGTAACCCTTTTTCGTTTTCTTTCTCAATTTTTCCTATTGACCCTTAAAAATATAGTATTTTGAAGTCCAGAACCATCTGCTGAAATGGAGCCATGACCACAAACGATAGTAAAGAACTGACACTAGGTCCTTCCATAATAATGTCTGCTAATCCTCTTGGAGCAAGAAAAGTGCTTGGAGTGCTTTGAAAACAAATAAGATAGTCTACTACCAGCATTCCTGTCAGATTATTTCATCTCTAATATATGTTCAGATGATTTTGACCTCAATCTGTTGTTGTCTAAAGAATTACTTCTTGGCCATATTCTTATGTATATTTCAAATGGCATTAGATTTCTGGAAGCTGCAAATAAAATGGGTGTAGATGCAGTTCATTGCCTTGTGATAGAAGACTCTTTGTAAGTTAGTTCTCATTCTAGTTAAATAATAAATATATATTCTGTATGTAATCTTCAGCTTTATTGTCATAGTTTTGAAGTTTTCTGCATATTAGATGAATGAACCTCTTAGTATATGCTCCATCCAATAAGTTTAATCCATTCAATCCATAACTATGGAATCCCTTTTGTAAGCCTATAATTACACCCTCGACAATTAGTTTTTTAGTTGACATTGTCCTAGTATATCTTGTGACCTCTTAGGAATCCAGATGGACAACGGTTATATAAATTATGTCATCATGCATTAGAAAAAAATATGGCAAGTTGAAAAAATATTTCACACATGAAATAACTTCTGTGAATTATTGGTTTATATTTTGTTTTACGCTCGTATCAGCTGATTGGTGTTTGTCACTCGCAACTTGGCATTGATATTTCCATAACAGAACAGTTAAATTTTGAATAGGGTTGTGGATATCCCAAAGTACCTCAACTTTCATTTTTCACTACATTGACAGAACAATTGATTTTCAATAACATCCCTTACCTATTTCTGCTGTGTGCGAAATATAGAGCCATTGGTCTAGAGTCTAGCCGGCTTTAAAAATTAAAATATTTCCAAAATTTTTGAATTAGGACATAGGAAGATTTCTTGTTTGACAGCAGTTTAAAATTTGATCATCTTTTTAGTTTTGAGTCTCCGAATGTTAGATTAATGGCCCTTTCATTTTTGAAAGTAAATTACATGAAACCTTCTGCTTACTCAACCTGCTAACAAATCAATTGTGAAGCCAACATTGATGTCCAAGCACAATGCACAATTATATGATTTCACATTCTTTTCGCAGAACATTCTAGGTTCTACAGGCCATTAGCAGTCATTCTTCTGTTGATTTACTAGTTAGCACACTGTAAGCTAGTAATCAATCTAAGCACAGCTTTTACATGTATGCCACATTGTCACGGCTTACTTAGCTATTGATGACTGTAAATAGTGTACAGATATGAGCTTTCTGCACTAGTGAAATTAATTTTAGGGATGAGTTAAGCTTGCAGAGTAAGAGTTGGATAGTTTTTTAAAATGTGCCTTTTCTTGAACTCTATAGTTCTGTAATTTTGAAACAGTTATATAGGAAAAAAAATATGAGAAGGAAAAAGAATGTAAGAGGAAATTGTTTCTTCTTTTAAGGGCAGTGTCATCCTAAAATATATATCAAATCAATTATTGCCGATCAGCATGGGCCATGGAGTTATCATACCAATGAGTGCTTCATATGCTATGACATAATTAAGAATAGATCACATTTTTTTTCCATCAAGCTGTACAAGGTCTGAATTTATAGTTTTCTATCATTGCAATACAGCTCAGACCAACTTTAAGAAAGTTCTGTTACATGGAACTGCTTGTCAACGAAGGAGAAAGTCCCGATTTGTTTCAGTTATTTCCCTTGCAGAGACAGTTAAACAGTCTGTCTGATAAAATCATTCATTACATCTATTAGAGAGAATTGTGAGGAAGTTCATTTTGGGTCTCAATGACAATTCTTGCTCTTGAGAATTCAAATTACTGAGTAATTGAATGAAGATTGACTCACGTAGTTCCAAAGCAAAAGAAACTACTATTAAAAGTACTCGTGTCTTACTTCCCTTGTTCTGATATGTCGGTTTCAAGGAAGATTTGTTGTCTGTAGGTCCTACAAGCATCTTAATTTGTAACTAGCTTTGCGAAAGGAGGCAGAAGTCTACTAAAGGGATAATTAGAATGGCCAAGCCAGAGACGGTTTAAATTTGTTCTCAACTTTTTTCAGAGCTAACTGCATAAACACATAGTTTCACATCACATTGTCACTTGGCTTTTGATGAAAAGGGCATCCCCATGTTATTTGGACAGGATAATCCTTTGCTCATGTTAAGAATAAAAGGGTAGTTTGTGTAAATTGTTAATAGTAAGAGGGTGTATGTGTAATTCTTATTATTGTAGCTTAACTATAAATACAAGTGATGTATGAGAGCTAGGTTAAGTTTTTAATCTCTCTGTTTCTCTCTAAAACTGTGTTAATCTTCTAAACTTAACATGATATCAGAATCATTAAGATCATAAATATATATGTATGTTCTAAATAAATTTTGGGTTGTACTGTTTGTTGAACCCATCACTGTTCGTTGAACTCATCGTGGTGGTGGGGATACTGTTGGTCGTGGTGGTGCTGTGCGGTGCTATGCTTCGTGGTTGTGTTGTGAAGGGTTGAGGTGGTGTTGTAGTCAACGTTGGTACAGTCGACTGTGGTGGCGCCTTGCTTCATGGTGAAGGTTGAGGTGGTCGTTGTAGTCGACGTTGGTATAGTCGATTGTGGTGGCACCTTGTTCATGGTGGTTCTGTACCTGGTGTGAGTTGTGGTTGAGTAGTCGGCGTTGGTATAGTCGATGTTGGTGCAGAGTGTAGAAATTAGGGTTTTCGTTGAACCCTAACTTAGTGACGAAGAAAAAGACCAAGTGGGTCGGGTTTTGGGTGGAGTACCTATTCTTAAGCCCAGACCCGAACCCTAGTCAGGTTCAGACCAGACCGGTCCAAGTCCAGCTCAGACCCAGTTCAACCCTGGTTTGATCCAGACTCAGTTGGTTCAGGTAATTTTACTCCGGTTCTTTAATTTTTAGCTCCAGTTTAGTGGTCCAGCTCAGTTGCTGCTTCGGTTCTTTGGCTCAGTGTGGTTCTACAGTCCGATTCAGCAGTCCAGAAGACTTTTGCAGTTCGGTTCACCTATCTTTTACATTGGTTCAATCTGGTTCACCTATTTTTACACTGGTTCAGCCCGGTCCAGTAAGTTTCTACTCCGGTTCAGCTCGGTTCTTCAGTCCAGCAGTCCCTTTTCCTCTGGTTTAGCATACCCGCAGTTCGGCTCATTTCTTGTTTGCTATTTGGTGCACTATTATGGAACCTAAGCAAGATACCAAGTTCCTTCATCTTTGTCTTCTCCGACTCTTATTAATGGTTCCATGACCTTTGTCAAACTCAATGAGACTAATTATATTTTATGGTCTCGATCTGTTCTAGTCTTTCTTCGAGACAAAGAAATTAAGAAATATTTGGTGAATCCTAAACCTAAGGAAGACATTCCTAGGTATGATCAGTGGGAACAAGAGGATGCTCAAATTATTTCTTTACTATTGAATAGCATTGAGCCTAGTATTAGTTCTATTTTGCTCTACTTTGACACTGCCAAGGAGATCTGGGATCACTTGGTTACTATGTATTCTGGTACGAGCAATTTTATCCGAGCTTATGAGGTGTGCAAGGAGTATTTCAGGCTGGAACAGAGTAATTTGAGTATTGAGGATTATTACTCACGTTTGGGAAATTTGTGAAGAGATGAAGACTTACCATCCGTTTACTACTGATGCAGCAGTTTGGCAAAAGTAACATAAGGACATGAATGTTAGGTTTTTGGTAGGTTTGAAATCTGAATATGAGGATATTCGTTCTCAGATTTTGGATGGTTCTACTTTTCCCTCACAACTTGAGGTTTTCTCTCGTATACAACGTGCTACTGTCTATTTCAGGTATTAATCATGGTGTTTCCACTGATCGCTCAGCTCTTGTGGTTCCTACTAGCCATAGTGATGGTCATTGAGATGGTCGTGGTGGTCGAGGAGGTTGTACGAGAGGTCATACGGGTGGTCGTACGGGGCCGTAGTGGACCATGTTCTTGTACTCACTGTGGTCGTGGAGGGCACACTGTTAATTTATGTTGGGATTTATATAGAAAACCTTCTGGTGCTGTGAATCAAATTTCTTATCAGGATAACACCTCTGTTGTGGCTTTCATACCTCGGTCTGCTCCACCAGACACTGGGTCAGTTACTATTATACAAGAAGAGTATGCTCAGTTCCTGTCTCAATAGGTTATTCCATCTCTCTCCACTGTTGTTTTTGCCTAGTCAGGTACTGCTTTCACTTGTTTATTGTCCTTCACTCGTAGTCTTTGGATCATAGACTTTGGCGCCTTTAACCACATGATTGGTGCGTCTGATGTTTTTTTTACTTATCAGTCTGTTACTTTCACACGTAGTGTTACTCTTGCTAATGGTACTTGTTCTAAAGTTTCAGGTCTGGGGACTATTCATTTGAGTCCTGATATGTTCCTATCTTTCGTGTTATTTGTTCTTCAATTTTTTTTTAGTTCACTTTCCATTGTAAGATTATTCGTTCTCTCAATTGTTTTATAATTTTTTATCCCTCTTATTGTGTCTTTTAGGATCTCAAGACAAAGAGGAAGATTGGTACGGGGCATGAAGCTGGTGGCCTATATTACCTTGACTTTGATTCACCTATTCGGACTTTACTGACCTTGTTGTCTCTTTTCAATGACATTGTTGTCTTGGACGTCCCTCTCTCCAGAATTTGAAGTGTCAAATTCCCAGTCTTAATAATGTGTCGTTTTTGTCCTGTGAAGCTTGTCAACTTAGTAAGCATCACCATGTGTCATTTCAGCCTAGAATCAATAGTCGTGTCTTGTCCATTTGAATTAGTCCATTCTGATGTATGGGGTCTAATAAAGAATATTTCATCTAATAATATCCTTATTTTGTGACATTTGTGGATGATTATTCTTGTGTGACTTGGTTGTTTTTGATGAAAGCTCGGTCTGAATTATTCTCTATATTTGAGACTTTTCGTAAGGAAATAAAAATTCAGTTTGGTTGTCGTATACGTATTTTATGTTCTGGTAATGCTCGAAAATATGAATCTAATCTTTTTTTAGCTTATCTTAGTAAAATTGGTATTATTCATCAGACTTTTTGTGCTTACACCTCTCCACAAAATGGTGTTGCTGAACGCAAAAACTGTCATTTGTTAGAAGTCACTCATGCCTTGTTATTTTAGATGAATATTCCTTGATATTTTTGGGGTGATGCTATTTTTACTGCTTGTCATCTTATTAATCGGATGTCATCCTCTGTGTTAAATGGGCAAAGTCCATATTCTATCTTTTTTCCTAGTAAGTCCTTATTTTTCATGACTCCTAAGGTCGTTGGATGTGTCTATTATGTTCACAATTTGGGTCCTGGGTTTGACAAACTTGACCCTCGAGCTACCAAATGTGTCTTTCTTGGTTATTCTCGCACACAGAAAGGGTATCGTTGCTACAGTCCCTCTCTGCACCGATACTTTACTAGTGTTGATGTCACATTTGAAGAATCTGTTCCATATTTTTCAGCACCTTCTCAGTTTTTGGATCTGGATTTTATATCATCTCTTGTACTACTATCTCTTTTCTCGTCTTCAAACATTCCACTATCCACTGTGTTACCATCTACTTTACCTCTTCGTGTTTACTTTCGCTGTCTTCGCCCATCGACTGAGGTGCTCGTATCGTCTTCCTTGTTGCCTTCTGATCCTGGTACATCAAGTAATTTAGACTCTTTACCTATTGCTCTTCGCAAAGGTACTCGTTCGAGTATTAATAATCATCTCATTTCTCATTTTGTTTCATATGATGTCTTATCTCCTGACTTCTCTTATTTTACTTTCCAATTATTTGCTATATCTGTTCCTAATCATTTACAGGATACATTATCTGATTGGGGTTGGAGGAAAGCTATCGAGGAGGGGATGGATGCTTTACATCATAATGGGACTTGGGATTTCGTTCCTTTATCCCCTGATAAACGGTTTGTTGGTTGTCGTTGGGTGTATACTGTTAAATTTAATCCAGATGGTTCTGTGGAGCATCTCAAAGCCTGACTTGTTGCAAAGGGCTTTACTCAGACTTATGGTGTTGATTATGAGGAGACTTTTTCTCCGGTAGTCAAAATTTTCTCTGTTCGTATCTTGATCTCTTTGGCTGTTAATCTTGATTGGCCCTTGTTTCAGTTAAACATCAAGAATACATTCTTACATGGTGACTTGATTGAAGAGGTATACATGGAGCAGACACCTGGGTTTACTGCTCAGGGGGAGTATGGTAAGATTGTATGTCGGTTAAAGAAATTTTTGTATGGTTTAAAGCAGTTACCGAGAGTATGGTTTGGTAAGTTTTTAGATGTAGTTTTAGAGTTTGGTCTTCTTCGATGTCAAACGGATCATTCTGTGTTTTATAGACAGACAGATGTTGGATATATCCTATTGGTGGTCTATGTAGATGATATTGTGATTACTGGAAATGATTCTGAGGGGATTGTCAAGTTAAAAATATTTTTACAGAATCGATTTCATACTAAGGATTTAAAAAAATTTAGGTATTTCTTGGGTATTAAGGTGGCTTGATCTAAACAGGATATTTGTTTATCCCAGAGAAAATATGTACTTGACATGCTTGAAGAAGCAGGTTTGTTGAGTGGTAGACCGATTGATGTTCCTATGGATCTGAATCAGAAATTATTGATAGATAATGGTGCATTGTTTGAAAATCTGGGTCGGTATCGCAGATTGGTTGGGATGCTTAATTATCTCACTATTACTCAATCGGATATTTCTTATACAATCAGTATAGTAAGTCAGTTCATAGGATGTCCTAGAGTACTACATTGGGAGGCAATTACTCGTATTTTGTGATATCTCAAACGAGCTCCTGGACTTGAACTGTTGTATCGAGCTAATGGGCATCTTAAAGTGAAAGGTTTTTCAGATACTGATTGGTCTGACTCTCCTTCTGATCAGAGATCAACTATTGGTTATTGTACTTTCTTAGGAGGTAATGTTGTCTCATGGAAAAGTAAGAAATAACCTGTGGTAGCAAGATCCAGTGCTAAGGCTGAGTATAGGACAATGACACATACGATGAGTGAGTTGACTTGGCTACTACACTTCTTCCAGAAAATTGGGTTTCCAGTTTAACTTGCTTTACAGTTGTTCTGTGACAACCAGACAACTATCCATATTGCTGCTAATCCTATGTTTCACGAGAGAACCAAGCATATTGAGGTTGATTGTCATTTTATTCGGGACAAGATAGTTGCTGGGGAGATTACAACTTCATTTGTGAAATCTAAAGATCTGCTTGCAGATATGTTTACCAAACATTGAGTCACGCCTTACAGTTATTTGTTCCAAACTTGAATTATATGATATATATAATCCAGCTTGAGGGGGAGTGTTAAGAATAAAAGGATAGTATGTGTAAATTGTTAATAATAAGAGGGTGTATGTGTAATTCTTATTATTGTAGCTTAACTATAAATACAAGTGATGTATGAGAGTTAGGTTAAGTTTTTAACCTCTCTCTATTTCTCTCTAAAACTGTGTTAATCTTCTAAACTTAACAGCTCAAATAACACTGCCTCTCTAATAGCATACACAGTGGCCATGGGGACTGCACACTTATTAGAGGCTGCACGAAGGGGGGGGGGGGGGGGTATCAAGATCTAAATCTATAAGTTACAGTCACACAGGAAGTGATTATGTGATTTCATTCACAGTTCATTATGCAACATGCATACCTATCGCAATTATCTGGAACTACGTTTTTATGGTTATATAGACTACTTAGTGTGTTGTTCTCATGCAACATGGTTGCTACAGCTAACATTTACATCTTGCAGTACCATGCTTTTCTATTATTTCATAATTATGTTCATGAATTTATTTTGATCCATATAATCATGCACATCTATTTCTACAGTATTGGTGTTAAAGCAGCAAAGGCTGCTGGAATGAATGTGGTAGCTGTCCCCTCAGTACAACTTGAAACTGATCAATATTCCATCGCTGATACTGTGCTTCATTCACTTCTGGAGTTCCAGCCGGAGCTATGGGGTCTTCCACCATTTGAAGACTGTATGTTTCTTTTCTAACATGTGCACTCCTTTTTCCTAATTTTGTAAGACAACTGAATATAAATTTGATGGTTGCAGGGGTGGATAATGCCTTACCAGTTGAACCCATTTATCTGAAAGGTTTATATAACGATGGGCATCTCCGTGATTTTGCAGGTTTGCATTTTGACTTGCAAAATGTAAACCTTCTTTATTCTCACGTACGCACATTATGCTTCAATAAATAAGCATTAGGTTCATGTGGCTCTGTACCAAACATAGCATGCCATCTCATCACTTTTTCAATTATACTTCAACATATAATCATTTGATTGAACCTGTTGTTCGGGATTCTGTTGTTAATTAAACCAAGAAGGTCATCATATTTCATGCATTTGGTCATAGTCCTCAAGCTGGAGAGTTTGAGCACCATGTTACTGAAAAAGAATATGAAATCCAGATGATGAACTATCTGCTCTTCCTGATCAAGTTTCGGGACTTTATTTTGGTTGGGCCAAACTCAACACACAAGAGATCTTCAAGGTTGTGATCAACATCGGATGGGAACATAATTGCTGTACAATTGATAGAAAAATTGTAAGTAGTTAATCCCTGAATACTTTGGTCTTCAATAGAATTTCATGCTGCAGCAGTATTTTAGGATTACTAGCATATTTTATATTGTTTCTCCCAGTTTTTGAATTTGAGTCCATTTCTTTGCCCATAAGTTCTTAAACCCCCCCCCCCCCCCATTTGTTTTCCTATATAAAATCTGTCCCTGTGATGTTTCGGCAGTCAGGTGTGCGAAAGGACAAAAGGATTCTTTGATTTCTTATCGGAGCCTAACTTCTTAGATGGAAACATAAAAAGAACTCTTGTAGGGTGATGATTCAAGCAAACCCCAATTTTTTATTGAGAATGTAAAGGTCGAAAAGCACATTTCACTAGATCAATCAAGGTTACTTGCAAAGTTTCTCCAAGGAGCTACATATATGTCTACATACAGGTATAAACTATATGTAAATATAAGAGAACAAAACCTAAAGCTCTGGTAAGTTAAAATATATTGTACAGCATTTTTCTGTGTACACACTGAAGTTTGGTGCCTATTAGGTCTGATGGATTTGAATTTAGAACAAAACTGAGCATTAAACAAAAAACAGGTGCTTAGTGTTTGGAGCCAATCGTCTAGCATTGGACATGATTGACCCGCTCTAGTTGACCAGTTTAGGACCCGGTTGACCAGCCTTCTGAAGAGCAGGTGTTCTACCTAGAACATCACAGATCAAACCTAAGCACTCGGTAATCCTTTCCTCAAACACCATGAGTTTTGCCAACATGGTTAGAATAATTAAGAAAAGGTTAAGACTTAACTATAACTATAACCAACACAAAGCGACTATTCACCTCCCCTCCCTCGAATCTGACACCAAATAATTTGATATACATATCATTTAGTTCTAGAGAAAAAAGAAGTATAAAATATCAAATAGGTTCTGCTGATTAGTTTGGACCTGGACTACTGGATGTCGGGAAAAGCAAGGTGGCATCTGTTTACAACATAGTCCCAATACACTGCATTGGCTGTGTTGTTCTTGCTTCTACATATACTCCCTTCTTGTTTTGGGCTGTCTAAATATACCGGGATCTTTTCATGTTTGTATGTTGTTTTGATACAATAATAATTGATGGTGACTTTTCTGTTTTGTTTTAGCAAGCATGTCTACTTGATGGAAGCAACGACGACATATTTGATCAGAAGATGCAAGTATTGCTTGTTGGCTACATCCGAGGATTGTGTAGCATGGTAATATAATTATGTGGAAATCCTTAGGTAGAAAATGTAAAACAGACTTATTAAGCCATGTCAAAAGTATTCTTATTCTTTGAAAACTTCTGATTCATGTGAAATTTCTAAGGCATAATCTTTTTCAGCCAAACCTCCATAGATTGTACTTAAATTTTAGTGGTGTCTAATGTATTTGAAATTTTTTCTGGATTGCGGTATTTTTGATTCAAGTACTAACTGGAATCAATGTGAATTATGGGAAGGCACTACTTCGTATGCTAAATGTCTCTACTTAAGAAAGCGAGCCTACTTATTCCCTTTTTTGTCCCCTTTTTGAAGTAATATATTCATGCAGGTTCATCAAAGCTTGAGTTTTGAACTGTGAAAATTTTAAATTTTAAGCTTCTTCGTCAATGTTAGCTTGTAGAAATTTCTGATTTAGTTTACATTTGAATTAACAATGGTGTTTGCTTAAGACTCTTCTAATCAGATTCATGCATTGATGTTCAGGGAAATAAATCGGGTGATATTGGAATACTTGAAGAAGACAAGTTAATTGCCAATGCTTCCTTGGATTTACCAGCATTTGCTAATCGAAGCTGCATAGCTTTCTTGTCAGAAGTTGCTTGTGAGGATGACTCTGCTGTTTCAGATGATACTGAATAAGGATGTAGTCAACTTTAGACAAGAGTGGATAGTTTTATTGTTGTTTGGGGAAACAAAAAAGACAAATCTGCCGCATGTTATGCTTCCCTTCTAGGCTGCTAGTAGTGATATAAAGTTGAAAAATGGCATTATTCTATTCATCTTGTGTTTTCTTGTCCACAATAAGATTGGGTTATGGTTATTACATGGCTTTATGAAATAGGTATGTCCAAGTTGACTTGATTAAATTCGAAAACTCCTCATGTTTCGAGTCCTTAGTTTACCCTCTGTTTACGCGCACACAAACAAACCGTAGAACTTTTGAATTTTTCCCTTTTTGAATACCAATCATTATTTGTGTCTGAAGTAAGAAACTATACAACGAACAATTTTTTTTTAAATAATTGTTTAAATTCAAAAGGAATGACCTAAAAATATTTATACTAATTATTTTTTTAAAATAGTTCAAAATATATTTGCGATCATATCTTTTATATTAATGGAACCGTCATAAAAATATATAAAAATTCTCTAAAACAACATCATATATACAATGTATCTGGGAGAAAGAAAAATAAATATTAGCATAACTTATTGAAATTTACTATTTTTAAACAAGAAATAAAATTTTTTTCATTTATAAGTCTCACGAATTTATCACTTCTACTATCACTTAATCTAATAACGCAGCATAATTATAAATTCAACTACCATATTTCTAATTCACCCTATCCCCATATAATAAATACCTCAAGCAAACAAAAAAAAATACTAACAGAACACAATTAAATTCATAATCTTTAAGCGATAAATAAAATCAATCAAATATTGCTCATTTATAAAACTCATGAATTTATTACTATTATCACCATTCAACCCCAAAATGACACAATATAATTATAAAAATTTAATCACCAAATATTCAATCATCCACATATGAATATGTACAGAAACACACCCACACCATTTCTTTTTTGGTTACCAACAAACATTTCAAACCAATAATTATTTTTATTATAAATAAAATAATTCAAGTTTTTAAGAAAAAATAATTATAAATAAATAAATATTTAATTTAAAAATAGGGTAAAAATCACAGACATTCCCTGAATTTTGGCAATATTACACGAGCACCTCCTGATATTTTATAGAAACACAGAGACCTCCTAAGGTTTGAAATTCATTGCACGGAGACCCCTCTGTCTTTCTTCCGTCAATGTTGCTAACAAAGATTGATAATTTCATCCCAAAAAAATTGTCCTCTTTCAAATTTAATACAAAAAAATTAAAAATTTAATAAAATCAAATAAAATTTGTTTTACTACCCAAAAAATTGGTATAATTTAGTACTCCAAAAAACTGATAAATGAATTTCAATATTAATTTGACAAAGTTGAATATAAATTGGACAAAATTAAATGTCAATTTTTGATAAAATTATATATTAATTTACAATATAAGATTCATTTCGTATTGAATATTATTTGGTGAAAGGTAATAATATGTAAGAGAGAGAGAGAGAGAGTGGATAAGATAGATAGATAGAAAAAGTTATACGAAAGATAAGAGTTTTAGAGTTGTAAAAGGAATGAAAGTTCAATTATGACCATCGGATCAAAACGATTTGAGCAGCAAAAAATTCAAGACAAACAATCTAACTACTTTATTTTATAGATTGTTAGCTATTGAATAAAGGCCCTTATTCTGCCCCATTCTTTGCTGCTCGTTCTCAAAGTAAACCCATTCCCTAGCCAAGGCACGAGTTAGTGGAACAATGCTTGTCTTTTTTTTCTTCTTGCCTTTAGGGGTGTTCACTCTACCCTACGGCTAGGAACTATGGTATTTTATCTTTCTACTTGATATTTTGCGGAAGAATTTTTTCTTGACCTACCCTGCCCGAACAAGCGTACTATTCCTACCCGAATTCCGGCCAAAACAATCGTATAAGAAGTCGGGTAAACACATATTTTTTATTTATTAATTTTTAGATTATTTTAACAATTTAATTAAGTAACCTGCACTAAATTAATAACACTAAAGAAACACAGAATAAATTCGATAATACATAAAGAATTACAATAAAACACAACAAGAAAATCATAAACATCAATAAAACATTAGAGTTTCTAGATTTTTGAATTTTAATTTTTAGAGATTGACATATATATATATATATGGTAGTAGGAATACAAAAATTTTGTAGATATTCCGCATTCCTACTCGATTTTCTGCAGAATATTAAAAGATCTTCCGTTGGCTTACTCGATTCTTTCGGATAGCAAATCAGTAAAGTCGAGTAGGGAAAGATAGGATCGGAATTTGCGGGTAATCGAAAATTTGAACACCTCTACTTGCCTTTGTGTTATTACACCATTAAGCACCCTCATCTATATAATAAAATAGCTAGATTGTTTGTCTTGAACTTTTTGCGGTTCAGATCATTTCAAGAAATTACTCTGACGGTCGTAATGCGAAATTTTCTCCCACAATTTTTTGAAGAAAACTTTCATTTCTTCCACAATTCTATGACTCTTTTCTCTCTCGTGTTATGCATTAATTAGGTCGTTAATTATGATTCTATATAATTAAAGATTTTTAAAAAAATATCAAATAAACAAATAGACGTTAGATACAATTTTTTTGTGTCAAAACGAGTAGAATGACTATAATATAAGTTATATTTTGTATTGAAATAAAAATACTATAATATTAGAATGGTATAATAAGCGAATAATATATATGTAATTTGTAATATATCTATATACTAAGAGAGCAGGTATTGTTTGTCTTGAACTTTTCGCAACTCAGATTGTTTTAAGATTATTCATCAAATGATCGAAACTCCTCCTCCAAATTTTATTTTTGCCTAAAAATTACAAGAGCCCATTCATTTTACTCGATTATCAGTTTGAAGTGATCATGATTAGGATTCAAATTAACGAATTTGAATGTTGAGGATAAAGTATATATTATTTCTTAAACTTAACTTTGTTTGAATTTTACGAATATTCAAGTTGAAATAAAATTGAAATTGATTGTAAAAATAATTAAAAATAACAAAATAAAAAAAATTATGGTGTCGCTGTGAACGAGAATAGATAAGAATTATTTATAGGCTTAAGATAGAAGTGTTAATTGAGTCAAATTTAAATTCAGTTCTCGATTTGACGTAATTATAAGACTCGAATTGAACAGAATTATATGAATTCTTGCTTAAACTTAAATTCGATTAAATGTTACGAATATTTAAGTTGAACTCAAATGGAAACTATATTAATTTTTCAACAAAATTTTGTACATTTACGAGAATTCGCGTGAAACTTTTAGATGTTTTTCTCACAAAAATTATACGAACTTACATTAGAAAAATGGTGCAGAGATAATGTTATAAACTTTAGGTAAAAACCTACAAAAAAAATAATTCAATTTTTTTTAAATTTGAGATAAAATTTATTAAAAATGTTAAATTGTGGATGTTTGATCAATAATAATTATATTTTCTCATATTCTTAAATTAATATGTTACAGTAGTTGTGGCATGACTTTCATTATATAATGGTTTGATTATACATGTTCTGCATACAGGTTAAACAATATCAATTTGATCGTTGTATTGTTAAAATTGAACTATACATTACATTTATTTATGAACAAATAAGTGTAATTTTTTACAAGTAACGTAGTGCTTTCAGGTAAAGGCAATTATTAGTTCCTTATATCAGACCTCTCTAGCTCTTGCGCCTCTTGATCTCCCTCTATTTGTCACCTCTTCATCTCCCTCTCTTTATTGGCTGAAGTTCTCCTCATTGGTATTGTTTGCTTGTGCATAATCACTCTCAATTGGTATGTGCAGCTATACAAATTCTACACATTAATGGTTGCTGTAGAAATGGCAAGATCAGTTACGAATTGGGAATTGAATAATTGCGAGCCGCGATGTTCTTTACTAGGTACTACATATTTCTTCTGCTCCCTTTTTCTCCCAGACGTAGACACACCATTGCCGAACCAATGTTGCTCTATTTCTTCTTCATAAGGTACTCTGTTTCTCTTTTTTTTTTTAATAATATTTTTATTCTTTTGTTTGTTTTTCACTTGATGATTGAATCGTTCAATTAGTGATTATGAATGTTTATTTTTCTTGTCTCCTCATAGTCGATTTATTGTTTAGTCTTGGAATCTCTTGGATAACTATTGGCAAATAAAATTGTTGAGATTTTTATATATCTCAATCATATGGATCGTTGTTGCAGTGTTATATCATAGATTTGGTTGAGCCTTTTTCTTTCTTTTGTTTTTGTTCAATTTCATGTTTTGCGTGAAGAATGTAGCTGTTATTTTAATAACAAGAATATTACTAGATAAACGTATGCAACTTCTTGTTTATATAGTTTGACTAAAAGATTTTAAGCAATATGTCAACTTAGCAGAACCTTCCCTTCCTTTCTTCTAGAAAGCTGGTTGCATTGAATGAAGAAAGGTGTAGCCCTTAATCCAATATTGAAAACAATTCTTATAGGTTTGACATTAGTAACCTGAAGATGTGTTTGAACGAATGTCAGATTGCATAATTGATCCACTCAATGCACTGCTCCTTCAATGACTATATATGAAGTTTCAGCAGACTAGAATTTTCAATTTAATACGAGCAAAATTAGAAGTACTAGGACATATAATAAGTTTCTCTTCCTAGGGCAGGAGTCTAATACTCTAAAAGATGCAATCTTTTCCTACCTGCATATTAGTATTGGAAACAAGGCAACACTTCTGCAATGTAGATTCTATTGGAAGCTAATACTATGCCGTGGAGAATACTTCATGTTTTCCATAAGGATGCACAAAATCAATGTGAATGACCGAAGAACGGGACGCTTTGTGGCCCAAGAAGTGGAAAAATTGAAGATCTTCAAATAATAAAAAAAAAAAAACAAGAAAATGTTAGAAAAAAAAAATGAAGGATCCAAATACTTGAAGATGATGAATTAAGTTTATTGAATTTTGCTAAACATTGACTTTCTTGG